GTCTTTTCTACACAGTTAGAAGACAAGCTTGGGAATACACGGAGCTAAAGCAAAATTAAACAGTGCACTGCGGAAATTACCATAAGGGCGTGATCACCAGGTTCATCAATCGCGTCATCGTGTAGATCGGGGTGACGGCTGGATGCCATGCTTTGAGGAGACTGCGGAGGCTTGCAAACCTCGAAGGGTAGTAAATCTACTACCACTCCCTCCTTCAGACACTTAGACAGCCACCGACTTCGCACCAGTTTCGCCTTTGTCCACGAATCGGTCCCAGCGAGACTGACCGCCACACGATCGATCGGGACTGCCTCGTCGATTATAACATGAGTTACTGAAGCTCCTGGCTTTTCTTCGATGTGACCGCCGTTTTTCAAGATTTGCTGCCGGAATATGGCCATTCGTGAGCGTATTATTCCGTCTGGAAGCAAGTAAAAGGAAAAAGACGAAAACATGTTGAAGCGGGTACTGGGTACTCTAAAACACATTCACCTTAGAGAATAGTTAACGCTGCAATGAATTCTGTATGCTAATGCACAAAGGTAAAAATCGGAGCAGTCAACATAAGATCGAACTCACAGTTGACAGATGTGACTTTCAATTCCGCCTGGGTCACTGACCTTCCATTCTTCCGCGCTATTTAAACGAAGGCCATACTTTACATGAAGTAGATGGTACATTTTAACGGTCGCTGTTTGTCATCATTATCTGGAAATTGACAACTTAAAAGATTCAACTATCCCGGATTAATGATATCCAACATGTAGGAAGCAATTCATCAGATTACTCTAAGATTTAACCGCTTCGACAAAGGATAGAGTCGTAGGCAGACAAGCTTCTAAAACGTTTCGCTGGTTGTCAACCCCCCCTTCCTTCAGTGCCCCGTAGGAGGATCAGTTTTTCAACTTTTGAGCTACTTTATCAAACCAGGCCAGATGTCGGTTTATTAGTTCTTCAGAAAGTTTCTTCAGCTTGGCGGTTCTGAGTAGGTAATTGTCCGTGACTCAACCATACCTCCGAGATTCAGAGATATTGTGCAAGTAGCACTGATTGTTCTCGATGTTTCAGGACTGCGGTGGATTCAAAGCCATACAACAGAATGAACAAGACGGTTGCTTTCAAGGTAACTCTCGTATTTATCGACACTAAGCGATCTCTCCATAGTTTATGTAGTCCTGCAAAATCAGCTGCTGCAAGTTTAATGCGTTAATGCGCAGGTTAATGCTTGAATGATAAAACCAGTCGTTCGCGAAACTGAGACCAAGAGCTTCACTCGGTCAACTTCATTCACCGCCGTAAAATTTAATTTCATTTCTTGGGTGTCGGTTATGATTAGTGCCTCTATTACCGATCACCACTCACCTTTAATCGTTCCAGTGCAATGATAACAACATTCACATGGTTTACTTGTAAAGCGTCCTTGAGATACGCAAACTAATGTTCTCATATCAACGTAGTAGCAACGATCAACCCAACGGCCCTATTCCGTTCAACCTTGAAAAGTTGTAAATGTCATTTTCATGATTTATCAGACTCTGTCCTCAAATTCGAGGGCCTTTCTCAGTGTCACTCAAACCGAACAATCAGACATAGACATCGCATAGGAAAGGTGAACACTCAAGGTCCACGAAATCGATGTTTCTGCACTATAAGAAACCTACAATGACGATAAAGTCATGCCATCACATTACAGTTCAGTAGTTACAAGCTTGTCGTCGCAGTAAGCCACCCGAAACATGGAATCACTAACTTCGTAAACACCACCAAACACATAGAAGCCACCAACGTAGAACTGGCCAACATCAACGATGAAGCCAAATAATTCTATGCGCAGGCCATGTTGAGGACCTCATGATACTACTCAATGAATACCAGCGCAGGAATGAAACTGGCAGAATGGGCATCTACATAAAGCCTTCATCTGCTATACGACGCCAAGCAGATCGATCCGGATATTGGAAGAGCGACTTTAAGCAGGAGCCCCAATTTACCTTCACCGAAAACAGCAAAACACCGATGCCGGTCAGTTGCATGATTCTGAACTACCCCCCAAGAAGTCAGCACAGAGAGTCGTTAATCCACATCGGAATCAAAGTACCATTACTAATGACAAAACCCATGTCAGGCTGGAACTTGAGCGAAATCTGAAATCGAAAGAAAAATAGTCTCAATCATTCTGATGCTTAGACCTCTTGCGCAAATTTATCAACTCACGTTCTAAAAGGATACAGGAAAGAGTACGCGCCATGCTGATTGTCGAAACTGAGTTTAATAGAGTACGAGAGAACTGCCACCAAGATTTTACAATCATTAAACCTGTAAGACGGCAGAAAGGGTTTATGCTTTAAGCATTCTAACTGCAAATCATGGAAGGTATTAGGCACCTTTGGAACAGAGGATTCCTCTAGAATACCGGCCTCCAAAAGTGAGCGCACATGCTGCCGCGGCCAAACTTTTACAAAACGCTAAATATAGCGTAGAGAAGAAAATTAAACCATGGCCATACTACCACCGACGTCGAAAATATCCCTTCCACCGTTATCCCAAAGAGCGAAATTAACGCCAATCACGCTAAAACCAAAGATGGTCAAGGGGCAAGATTGTACGGAATTTTTCGAGCGTTCCTAAAACACCTGGTACATAATCGTCGAAAATGGTTCACCACTTTTTACAGATAAGACCCACTGCACCAGAGGTATACCGTCCGTCAAAACGTGATCGCCATTTTAAAACCCGGGAAAATGCCTGGTGAATTATCAAGCAACAGGCAAATTTTTTTCCTCAGCAAAGAATACAAGTTGCTGGAAAGGACGTCTTTAACACGCCTCATCTATCATATAACCAACACCAGAGATGGACAGAAAAGTTTCCGAGTAGTAAGGAGCTGTTTTGAATTCGGCTCCCAAATAAAGCGTAAAACCGGAGTTGTTCTCACAGACCTTATTGGTCCTTCGACACAGGCTGTTACCGAAATCGGTATGGGTACTGA